GCTCCAGCACCTCCAGCAGCTCCAGCACCACCAGCAGCTCCAATACCCTCAGCAGCTCCAGCACCGCCAGTAGCTCCAGGACCCTCAGCAGGTCCAGTACCTCCAGCAGCCCCAGTACCCTCAGCAGCTCCAGCACCTCCAGTAGCTCCAGTACCGCTAGTAGCTCCAGGACCCTCAGCAGGTCCAGCACCTCCAGCAGCCCCAGTACCCTCAGCAGCTCCAGCACCGCCAGCACCTCCAGCAGCTCCAGTACCTCCAGCAGCTCCAGCACCCTCTGCAACTCCAGTACCCTCAGTCACAACACCGCCAGCCCCAGCAGCTCCAGTACCCTCAGTACGAGCACCTTTGGGACCAGCGACACCAACAAAAGAACCCCCGGCAGTAGAGCCCTGAGGTGCAGAAGCGCGACGCTGACGGCGACCGTACCAGTCGTGCAGCTGCTGGGAGGTGAGGGGCACACGCGGACGAAGACGGCTACTCCAAGGAGACCGCGTAAAAGCAGTCTCAGATTCCTCAGGCGACTCACCCCCAGACTCAGCACCCCCAGGCTCCGCACACGCAGGCTCAGCACCCCCAGACGCAGCACCTCCAGACGCAGCACCCCCAGACGCAGCACCTCCAGGCTCCTCACGCGCAGGCTCAGCACCTCCAAGCTCCACACGCTCAGCGCCCCCAGACTCAGCACCCCCAAGCTCCGCACCCCCAAGCACGGCGGCGGGCTGCGCGTGCGTGGCCTAAGCAGGCTGCGCGCGGGCGGCTTAAGTGGCGCGCGGGCGGGGCCTAAACGGGCTGCGCGGGCGGGGCCTAAACGGGCCGCGCGGGCTGCTTAAGAGGCGCGCGCGGGAAAACAAAAAAAGGTCGCGCGCTTGCAGCCGAGGCGCGCGCGGGCAGTAGGCAAGGCAGGTAAGGTAATATGGTAACCGGTGGGTCCTAATCCTAGGTCATAAGGACCTATGCTCTGATACCATGTTAAGCTCTTAGGCAAAAGATGATCGACTATCGAGAGTGTTGGTACAAAATGAAAACCTAAGGGGTTGTACCCCACAGTGAGTACCCTACTAAAGCCTACCTAAACTATAACATATAAACATATGTTTTACATTCTGCACTGCTCTTGGGCTTGTGCCCACTCTGCCTCACTTGCTATTTGCTTGACTTGCTATTGTTGTACACTGATATATATATCTTTATACCTGCTTGTTTACTCTTACTAGGATGTGATCAGTGTACTGCCTTGCTATTATAACTCTGCATGTGAACTGGCCTTGTGGCCGGTTGCTTGTGCTCAGATTATGTGGTGTCCTTGAGATCCACCCTGAGCTTTGCTTTGCTTTGCTCTGTTGTCTTGCTTGACTGGTCTTGTGACCGTCTTATTGTCCCCCGCTTAGCCTATGGGGGTGTGTCAAAGTACAATCTTACTTGTAGGCTATAGTGGGGCACTCCTTATGGGGTACAACACGTATAGGGTTAGTACTTGTACCCCAACTCTTGCTAATCTTATTATTCCTGCACAGTTATTCTCACACTGAAGATAGCTGGGTGCCCCTGGCCAACATCGAAAACCACCCTGCCGTGCAAGTGTACCTGAGGAGCCTGGGTTTCCGCGATACACACGCACTCGCGTAGCGGAGGGGGCTTCATGAGGGATGGGGGGTAGTGTAAGGAATTTTCTCGCTATTCCTTACTGCGACCGTCAACATCGCGTACAGCCGCAACCGTTGTTCGTCCGTTATTGCTAACGGGGCTTCGCCAACTTCGCGCGCACTGTTTCACCAAACCTTGCACCGCTGGCCCGGCCGAGTCGGCCTACGCTTCGGGACTAGCCCGAACCTCGATGCCAGCCTAGCACTAGCTGGCTCGCACGCACCGCGTTACCGTTTGCATGTTTCGCGTATAAGTATTCGCTCATGCATTCGCTCATACTTTGTACTCGTTTGACACCAAGTGCAATCCTCCCTACCTAGATTCATTGCACCCGTAACAGTTAGGCAAAAGTTACCGAAATAGTTGTGGTTCATATAGTCCAATGAACTGTACTTGCACAAAAGAGCAAACACCACCTTTGTAGATTCAGCCAGGTCCCAGTAGGAACGTTCAACTAGTGGTTGTGAATCCTGATTCTCAACCACACTATCCTTCACGACTTGTACCATGCTCAAAACAGTTGGATGAATTCTTTCATGATTGTGTTAACCACAAACTTTAGGAAGTACCTTTCCAAATGGCCTCGATTACCGAGTGCCTCAAAACGTGCGATTGAGGTGTTAAACCTTTTGCAAGTGGTCCTTCATACTCCGTGGTTGCTGAACAATGAGTGCACGACTGAATTCAAGTGCCTCACCATAATAACATTCCGTTTATCCATATCTCAGCTCATAAACGAGCTGGTAGGCATCACGCGCAAGCTGGCAAAGCAAGTGTCTGGTGTGGTCAGGATGGGTAGGCTAGAGCCCAACCACTTTCAGTCTCGAAAGACTTCGGTCGGGTAGTATTGGGATCCTACCCTTTTCAAACATCCCCAACTCACCCACCCAGCCTCCGTCGACCTGATCAACGCGGGAATTCTGCGTTCCATTTGGCCACCGTCTTGAAGTGCTGTACTGTATGTATGCGCTGTACATACAGTGCAATGTGCTTTGTGCAGCTCTGGCAGCAAACGGAAGGTGAATCTTTCGTGATGGTTCGGCTGGCAGCAATACTGCAGTGTGCCTTGTCTACTGGAGGCACAGCGCACAACCTGACAGCGAGTTTTACGGGAGGGAAATGAGAGATGACTCAGATGACTACCGATATTTCAAGCCCCACCATGCACTGTTCCTGATTTTGATAGTTACCGGGAACAGTGGGACGTCAAACGTTCAAGGATTCTACCGTAAGGAATGAGGGATTTTCATAATATACCGTAGAACGTATGACGTCCCACACAACCCTCGGTCAAAATATTATGAAGGGTGCATACCCTCAGCACACGTGGGGGTTGAAAATAGACATAGAAAATAGCGGTGGTTAGGTGTACACAAGTTCAATGTTCGAGAAAGTTACTGTAGGTCCACAAGTGCTACTGTGCGAGGTTCTAGATCTTTGAAGTTGTGTGCGACGAAAGACGCGGGGGTCCTCCTCACCTCACCTCATAGAGCTCCACCCCCCATTACCAGCGGTGTATCTTCTCGGGTAACGTCGCTGATTGTTCCTGCATTGGCGGTATGTTCTACTGCTCGTTCAGGAGCGTCTGATGGCATGATGGCAATACTTAGAACTGTCATACAAGTGAAGCATGCAGTTAGTGCAGCTAACAAGTGAAGCATCCCCCTCTGCTTCGCCTGGACCTCGCCGAGCCAAAAACTCATTTTGGCGGTGTTCAGTTCTGTTCTGCTCCTGAGTTGACTTGTCTTTCAGAGAGTTTCACACACATTTTCGCCAAACTATGCCTTCCAGTAGCTCTAGGGAATCGAGGTGGCGAATCTAGCTACTAGCTGGCGGATGATCGTTAGTAAGCACAGACTGGCTGGTGCTACCCACGCTCTAAATCTTACAGTATTCGTCTCCCGCGAAAGCAAATGAGACGCGGCCTGCAGGGCTCCTGAGAGCACCTTCGCTGCCAACGAATTTGTGAAAGTTAGAAACACAATAGGAATTTCTGAAAACTGGAAGCTTAACGCGGTACGGCGTGTAGCGTCTGAGTAGTACGGTCACGCAATCCTATCCCAGTCGCCGGCCGTTTGCTGGCGTGAGGCGCTAGACACCCCCTTAGTACTCCAAAGCATCCTCCTCGGGATGATCATGCCTGAGAATTGTAGCGGTAGAGCGAAGGAGACGACAAAGGTCAGCGGGCGAGCCGCTCGTTGGCTTTGAGGGGCCCTGCCTGTGATCAGTTTAATCCCACCGACTATAGATTGATCTTTCTTAAAATTAGGTCATTCACAGATTTCTATGCAACTGGTAGTTCCAACCGACCGTTCGAGTGTCGATCTTGGCAATCCCAAGGGTGGGAGGCCTTCGAACAGAACCGTTCGGTGACCGACCTTTTCAGTCAGGTACTACCTGAACTCTGAGGCGCCGCGGCGAAAGGCAGCGCCGCGGTCTCGAATCGCCCTTTTCCAGCTTTCTCTAGGAAAAACATAATTCCACGTCTCCAAAAGTTCCATCTTGGAAATAATCTTGAAGATTCGCCATGAGTTTCCCGGCCGGCTTCGCGAAGCTTCCACCTTTCGGCACAGCTGAAGCGGCGGCGTCGGCTGCGGCTGCTGCGGCGGCGGGGACAAAGAGGCGCGCGGAAGATGCGCTGGAGGGAAGCGCAGGCAGCGGCGGCGCAGGCGGAGGCGGAAGCATAAGCGGCGGAAGTTCCGCCGGTGCGTCGCGGAGAAAGATCGAATCTTCCGGCCCATCCCCTCCGCAATTGCCGCCGCCAAAGACGGCGCCATCGGCGCTGCAGGGGCGTCCGCCGACTCCGCCGACAGCAGCGTCAGCAGCGGCGGCGGCGCTGGTAGCACTGGCGCCGCCGCCGGCGGTTGCGGCGCAGCAGCAGGCGGCGCAACAACGAGCGGCGGCGCAACAGCAAGCGGCGCAACGGCAGGCGGCGGCGCAACAACGTCAAGCCGCGGGGATGGCGGCGCAGCAACAGCAGCAGCAGCGGCAGCAGCAGCAGGCGGCGGGGGGACTCCATGTGCGCGCGCTGTGGCTGACTGTGAGCCCCGCGGAGCGATACCTTCTGCTGGAAGACCAAGAGACGGGAGACGTATTGATGCCTCTCATTCACATGCGCGTGAGTGCGGCCTATGGGTAGCTCAGCCTGTGACTCACAGTCATGACTCGTGTTCCTGTGAGTGCCGCGCCTCACTTGCTTGCTGCAACGCTGTGGTTAACTGTGAGCCCCACGGAGCGGTACGTGTTGCTGGAGGACCACGAGACGAGGACGAGGTGACTTTTGAGTCGACTCAAAGGTCAAAAAGTCACCTTTTGAGTCGACTCAAAAGCCAGGACCACGAGACGAGGACGTATTGATGCCGCCGCTCATCCACATGCCTTCTCCCTCTCTCCCTCCCCCCTTCTTCCCTTATCCGTCTTCTTTCCCCCTCTTCCTCGCCCATGAGAAAGTGTTTGAGACGAACTACACTCACAATCTCTCTGCCGCCGCCGCCCCACTGGTTTTCCCCATCCTCTCCCCATTCTGTCCCGTTTCCCCTCTCTCCTCCCCCGTTCTGTTCCGCCTTCTTTTCCCCCCTCGCCCATCAGATAATGTTTGAGGCCAACTACAGTCGCAAGCTCTCCTCGCTGAAGCACCGTCTGGTTACCATCTCGCCCGACCTCGCCACCTCTCGCCCGACCTCGCCACCTCTCGCCCGACCTCGCCACCTCTGCTTCACTGCTGCCTCGCTCACTTCCCCTTTTTTTCCACTCCCCACTCTCCCACCCCGTCCTCCCCCGTCTCCTCTCCCCTCCCCTCCCCCGTTACCTCCCCACTCTCCTCCCCTCCCCTCCGTCCTCTCCTCGCTCCCCTCACCACCCATTCGCCCCCCCTCTCGCCGATCTCTCCCCCCTTCTTTTCCAGAAAATGTTTGAGGCCAACTACAGTCGCAAGCTCTCGTCGCTGAAGCACCGTCTGGTTACCATCTCGCCAGACCTCGCCGCGTCCGCCGCCGCCGCCTCCGCGCTGCCGTCCCCGCCCGCGCTGCTGCAGGGCTTCCTGTACTGGCGCTGGGCGTTCGAGAGCCCGCACGAGGTGGGTGGGTGGGTGGGAGTAGAGGGGGGTGGAGAGCGGTGGGAGGGTGGGGGATTGGGTGCATGGGCTGCTGCAGGGCTTCATGTCGACTCAACGCCTTCCCGCGTTCCCCTCACACGTGCTGTCGTGCTCATGTGCTCCCCCTACCGACGTATGGCAGGCAGGTGAAGGTGGTGGTGCGCAAGATGCTGGGCGAGGAGAACACGCCCCAGGGCCATCCATCTTATTTTTGAGACGTCTCAAAACTGGGCGAGGAGAACACTCCCCAGGGCCATCCATCTTATTGGTATTTTGTACTCCCCCTGCCTCTGCTCCCCCTGCTTGTGCGTGCGTGTGCCCGTATGGCAGGTGAAGGTGCTGGTGCGCAAGATGCTGGGCGAGGAGAACACCCCCCAGGGCCACCTGCGCCTCATTCTCGTGCCCATCGTGTACAACGCTATGGCGCTCAAGGAGAACCTCCGAAAGGTGAATCTCACCACTCTCAACCTACTCGCAACCTCGTTCTGCCCCTCTCAACCTCGCTCTACCACTCGTAATGCTATTCTCGTGCCCATCGTGTACAACGCCATGGCGCTTAAAGAGAACCTCAGAAAGGTGAATATCGCCCATTCTCGCCCACTCTCGCCCACTCTCGCCCGCTCTCACCCACTCTCACCCACTCTCACCCACTCTCACCCACTCTCGCCCACTCTCGCCCGCTCTCACCCGCTCTCACCCACTCTCACCCACTCTCACCCACTCTCACCCACTCTCACCCACTCTCGTCCACTCTCGCCCTCTCTCACCCACTCTCATCCAATATCACGTGCATCCGTGCCTTACTGCCACCCTCACCCCCACCTTCCTCTTCGCCTGCCCGCCCCCCTCGCCCCTCTCCTCTTGTCCCGCCCCTCACCCTCTCGCCAGACGCCTTTCTTTGCCAAGCTAGAGGCGGCTCTGCACGTCTCCTCTTACTGGCAGCTGCTCAAGCCGCAAGACCGATCCTTGTTCATCTTATACCCAAATCTGTATATCATCCTTTCCCCTCGCACCCCTCGCCCTCTTTACCCCCCGCCCCTCACCAGACGCCTTTCTTTGCCAAGCTAGAGGCGGCACTGCGCGTCTCCTCTTACTGGCAGCTGCTCAAACCGCAGACTGACGGGGACGCTGTGCCTGCTGCCTCTGCCTCTGCTGCTGCCGCTGCTGCCAGTGGTGGGGACGGTTCTGCTGCTCCGGACGCTGCGGATGGTGCTGCTGCTGCTGCTGCTGGTGCTGAAAGTTCCAAGGGAGGGGTTGCTGAGAAGGGGGATGCGAGTGTGCAGGGGGACGGGGAGCCGGAAAAAGAGGTTGGAGGAGGGGGCGGAACGGGAGGAGGGGGAGGGGATTTGATATTTCCTGGTCCGTTTGATCTCCTGAGGACGGTGGCCAAGTACTGTGTCTCTTACTCCGCTGCTGAAGAGGCTGAGAAGGGGTACGCTGCTGCAACAAGACATGGTGTGGTGCGGTGTGGTGCGGTGTGGTGGGGTGGGGTGCGGTGTGGTGTGGTGTGGTGCGGTGTGGTGTGTGTTGCTTTTGTACACCTGCAAATTCGAGCCCCTGCTTCCCCCACCCGTCCCTCCCCTCCTCCCTCTCCCATTTCTTCTGACAAACCTGAGCCGATTGCGTATTTCCTTCTCTCCCCATTTTCTCCTTCCCTCTCTCTCCCCTCCAACTTCTCCTCTCGTCAACCTGCCCCCTCGTGATTGCAAGCGACAATCAGCGCCAAACAATCAATGCTTGTAGCTTACACCTCTTGCTCCTCTCCGCCCTCCCAAGTTCGCCCTTCTCCCGCTGTCCCTATCTTTCCCTCTCTCAACCCACTCGTCTCCCACTGTCCCCACCCCCTCCCCCACATGGCAGCAAGCAACGATCAACGATGGGTAACAACTCTTTCGCCTCCTCCCCCTTCTTTCTCTCCAGCAGCAGCACCACCGCGCACGCCCTCCCCCTCCCCTCTCCCCTCTTTCCTTCCTGTGCCGCCGACACTGCTGCGGCCAATGCAGCCGCCAGTGCTGCTGCAGCCGCCGCCGCTGCTGCTGCTGCCTCTGCTGCTGCGACCGCTTCCGCTGGTGCCACTGCCGGTGCTGCTTCTGGTTCTGATTCTGCTGCAGCTGCAGCGGCAGCAGCAGCTGCTGTGAATGCTGCCTCTCCTGCTGGGAGTGTTGGTGGGAGACAGGCGGGTAAGGGAAGTAGGGGGGCAGGGAGAGGAGGTAATGGATTGAACGTGGGTGTGGAGGGTGGGGAAGTCCTGACAGCCGCTGCTGCTGCTCCTCCTTCTTCCCCTGCTGCCTCTTCTGCCCCTTCTGTCCCTGACAGTTTCGGGTATAGGGAGAAGGGATTTGGAGGGGAACAAGGGGGGATGAGAGGAGGAGAGAGCGGAGGAGGGGGAGGGAGTGTGCGTGGAGAGCGAGAGATGCTGAGAAGAGGTCAATCTGGGATTGGATTTGATTCCGGATTGAGTAATGGGCTGATAGGGCAGGCGGGGAAGGGAGATGAGGAGGAAGGGGTGAAGAGTGGGGAGTGGGGTGGAGGCATGGAATTAACAGAGAGGAGAAGAGGAGAGAGAGGAGGGGGGGCAGGAGGTGGAGGAGAGAGGGTAGGAGGGAGAGAGGCAGAGGAAGGCTATGGCTGGGGCGAGGAGGGTCGAACACGAGGCTCGGGGTTAGGTTCGGGGGAGGATTCGACAGCTCTGCTTCGGGAGATAGCTGAGGTTCGGGAGCAAGGAAAGGCGGTCCAGGCCGACTTTCAGCTGCTGCGCAGGGATTGGCTGGCGCACGCGGCTGACGTCAGGGCCCATGCTGCTGACGTCAGCGAAGAGATGCGGGCTTTAAGGGGGCTGTTGGAGCAAATCCTTGCAATGGTTGAGCCGAGGAGGTGCGTCTCTCAATAAGCGTGCTTCGTTATGCATGTATTTCGCATTCCATTATGATGCATATACTAGAAAGTAAATTTGCATGTATTTTTACATACGTTCTGCCACACTTCCCCTTCTCTAAATTTCTTCACCCTTAATCCGTTCCTTTGTTGCCGCCCCACAGCAGCACTGCAGCAGCAACAGCACCACCAGCAACGTCTGCACCGGCGGCAGCTGAAGCAGCCGCAGAAGGAGCAGCACCAGCAGCAGCAACTCACCGATTCTTCCAGCCAGCCCATCAAAGCCCTCCCCACCGTTCCTTCATCCCTCCTCCTCCTCCTGCTTCCCCCTCTCCAAACACTCTCCAACCGAATCACACTTCAGCAGCAGGAGGAGCAAAAGATGCTGCAGAGATCAAGTCCCATCCACCACCATCATCTCACTTCTACCCTCCAAGCATTGAACCTGCTGCTGCTGCTGCTTCTGCTGCCGCTGCTGCTTCTGTGGTTGCTGCTGCTGCACCCGCTGCTCTGTTCGGTGTTAACCTGACTGCCTCCGCTCGTGCCTTTGCGGCTGCTGCCGGTGCTGCTGCTGATGGCAGTGGCAGCATCAACGACGCTGCTGCTTATAAAGATGCAGCTTCGAACGGGGTTGCTGCTGCTGCTGCTGCTGCTGCTGCTGGTGGTGCTTCTTATGATGTAGCTGCCTCTAACGCTTCAGCAGCAGCTGGCCTGAACTTCTCTGCGTTTCCTGCATTTCCCCCAGACCCTGCTGTTCGTCCCACTCCTCTGAAGCTCTTGTGTGGCACTGACACGGCTAAAGCAACCACTACACCTGCTGCTGCTGCCACTGCCGCCAGTTCTGCTGCTGTTGGTGCACCTGCTGCAGCAAACCATCTAAGCATGGGTTACATCGGAGAGAATGGCACAGGGGTGCAACTCCAGGCGAGCGATGCGAGGCAAGGCTTCAGAGGCAGTGAGAACTTCAATGTGTTCCATCAGCCAACCCGCAGTAATAATGAGTGTGCTACTAACGAGTATGAGAGGGCCGCTGGCCTTCAGGCATGCAGTGCAGGTGCAGCGGGCAGCAGAGGGGTGTTTGCTGGTGGGATAAGCGGCCAGCATTGGGAGTCGGGGGATAGAGTAGCAAGCAGGGATATTGATCTGGGGAAGAGTTTGGGGTCGCGTTATGGAAGGCCTCAGAATGAGGCTTCAAGGTGGAGTTATGAGAAGGGGAGGGAGGAGAGAGAGGAAAAGGGGGAGGCGGAGAGAGGGCGAAGGGAGGAGGGGAGGACGGATGGGGGAAGAGGGGGAGGTGTGAATGGGCAGTTGGAGGGGCGGTTATGGGGCAGGGACCAGCATTTTGAAAGAGGGAATGGGGGAGTAAGAGATTGGTGTGGCGGGGGTGGGGGAGAGAAAGGAGGGCGACAATACATGGATATGAACGAGGGAGGTGAGGAGGGATTGTGGAAGGAACCAGGAACGAAGCATGAAATAGTAAGGGGGGAAAGTTTGCACCAACAGGGTTTACGGGAGGGGGGTTTGCTGCGACAGGATTTGCCGAAAGAGAAAGGGCAGCAAGGGCACAGAAAGGAGTCGTCTGAACAGCAGGGTGAGGATGTTTCCTGGAAGAAGCAGGTGGAGGTGCTACAACAGCAGCTGATGGCTTATGAGCAACGGCACCAGATGATGATGCAACAGCAACAGCAGCAACAGCAGGAGCAACAGCAACAGCAACAACAGCAACAGCAGCAACAGCAGCAACAGCAGCAACAGCAGCAGCGACAGCAGCAGCAGCAGCAGCAGCAGCAGCAGCAGCAGCAGCAGCAGCAGCAGCAGCAGCAGCAGCAGCAGCAGCAGCAGCAGCAACGAGAGGAACAGCACCGGCAGCGGCAGCAGCAGCACGAGCAGCAACAGCTCCAGCAGGACCAGCAGCAACATCAGCACGAACAGATGAGTCAAAACGGTTTGGAATACGACAGGGCAGAGGGAGGCAAAGTGATGCAAGGCAGACCACCCTCCCCTTGCTGCTTTCTGACATTATGATACGGTAATGGCTCAAGCTCTTGCAGTGGTTTTGCTGGCTTGCCTTCATGTGTAGAGTTGAAATGAACCTAGCTCTGCTTTGATGTTACAGGTTGCTGTAGTGTTTTTCTTTTTCATTATTTATTTGCTTTCTTTGTATGGTGTGCCTATAGACCATCACAGGTATTCCTGTGTCTTGGTCTCCAAGCTACCAAGAACAAATGGTGTTTGCACAACTTGTTTTTTTCATGACATCAAATCAAATGGCCGCAATTTCTTTTACTTCTGCAACCAGAACTACTGGTATGACATATCCTCCCTATAACCAGAACACATCCTCGTTATACAATAATACCTTTGTAACAAACTCCAGTCAGAGTCATCCGCTGCGCAATTTAGACCCAGATGTCTGACGAACAATCACCGCCAGGGTACCTCGTCTCATGCGCCAGCGCGGGCCCCTCGGGAAAATCCCCGAAGTCCACGAAAAAATCCTTATCGAGCGTGAGACCCCCGTTTTCCGTGTCCACGTGTACGAGCAGCAGATGCCCGCCCTTCTGGATAAGGTCGGGGTAGAACTGACTGTCCCAGGACGAGAAGAGCGAATTCGTGACGTAGAGACGTTTTCCGTCTAGGCTCAGCTGGATCATTTGCGGGCCGCCCCTTAGCTCCTTACCCTGCAACGTGAAAGGAATGGAATAGATGCAGGTTAGACGAGGAAGCATGGACGGATGGGAACTATGAAGGAACCAGCGAGAGGAATCGGGACTCCCATCTTTGCTATTGAGTCGAGCCCCTTACGGAAACGCCGGACGGTTCGCGTCAACAATCTTTGCTGTAATACACTAGACTTACCTTGACAGTGGGCACTTCAGGAGGCGGGTTGCCGTTCTTTTGCGTGACGGCACCTCCCTCGCGTATCACCCCCCCCAGAAACACCTGCCCCACGAGCTTCGGATTGGCCGGGTCGGAAATGTCGTACTGCCGCAGATCGCCTTGCAGCCAATTGGAGAAATAGAGGAAGCGGTCGTCGAGTGAGATGAGAATGTCGGATATGAGCCCAGGGAGTTGCGGGAGAGCCCAGCCGTCCACGTCCTTGGGCTCCACTCGGATTACCACCTGGCGGAGGAAGGGGGTATTAGGGAAAAAGTCAGGCATCGACGAGGGTAATTAGGAAAATTTTCAGCAACAAAGAAGCCGTCAGGGGAATGCGCTCAAGTGGGGTACCAGCCTTTCATTAAAATCACATCTCTCCTTGAAAGGCATATCCACCCCTCACTTGCACCCCACTCCAGGTCACTTACATCCGTGCTCCATTTTCCTGCGTCGTCTTTGCTGATCCGAATGATGTTGCTGCTGAGCGCAGCGCCGACGAATCCCACCGCCTTATCCGGATCATGCAGAAATCGAATTTCTAAAGGGATTAGCCCCTCATTCCCCAAATCGACGGTCTGAATAAGCTCGTGTGTCGTCCAATCCCAGAAGTACAAGTGTCGCCCGTAATCCTCCGCGACGTGTCCCGGGTCAAATCCCTTGGTAAACCGCTTCGGCGCCCCCCAGGCGCTACTAACGAGTACGTTATGCCGCGGCTGGTACCAATAGTCATAATGGAACGGAAGCTTCGCCCCGCCTTCCTTCTGCCACCGGCCCTTGATCTCGAAATCCTCGCTCAGTAACAAGAACCCCGTGTCGCCCGCGTTTCCCTCCGGGTCGCCTAAAGCGGAGATTAAGATCTCTCCAGAGCCCAGGCAGTGCGTCGTATGAAGGTACGCCAGCCCGGTTTTTGCGGCGATATCTTCGGCCTGCACGACCTTGTGGAGGGACGGCGCGCGCGGATCGGTCGCGACATCCACGGCGTAGACGCGGCTCGACCTGTAATATTAGTTGGGGATTTTATATTGACCATTGAAAGCAAAAGAAGAGGTGTGAGCTTCGTCGCGACTAGTAACTGGTGCTTCAGACATGCAGACAATTCTAGAGGCGCACGGACGAAATTGAATTCCACAATTCAAGCACACGTACTGCAGGGCTGGCAGGACGAGGTATTTGCGCGACTTGGTGGGATCGTTGACGCACGAGCTACACGCGTTCCATCCTGCGACACACGACGCGTAAGAACGGAACATCTCCTAATAACCACACGTAACTAGCGATTAAGCAGCACCAAATTCAATACCAAAATCAAGGGATGCAGGCAATTACCGGCCGCGAAAGATTGCTCGGACCATGAATTCCGTTCACACGCACACGCACAACAAACAGAGGAAGCGAAACCACGTCGTACCTGAGTGATGGAGCTCGTCGTTGAGGTGCGGCATGAACAGTCGATGAATGACTTGGCCAAAGCTCTCCGATTCCGGATCCACGTCGTACCTGAGTGATGGAGCTCGTCGTTGAGGTGCGGCATGAACAGTCGGTGAATGACTTGGCCAAAGCTCTCCGATTCCGGATCCACGTCGATTGTTGCCAGGAAGTCCGGCTTCTCGATCCCAGTCCCGGTGTAGATACCCGTCGTGTAAAGCAGCTTCTCGCGCGGCCCCTCCATGGCTTTTAACGGGGATACGTACCCGGGGCCCTTACCGCAGCAAGAACCCGCTGCCACGCCGTCAGCGCCGGACTTGCCGCCACCCATAGTTGCCTGCGTAAGTCTGGGAACTGAGCAGCAGCACCTCCAATTGCGTCCCTAAGACCGACGCTGAATAGCCAGCGCGAGAGGCAGGCTATGAGTTACCACACAACTGAGAGGTCACAAGAATGAAGGCTGATGAGTAAATGAAAGACTGAACTGAAGGACTTCTAAGCATTGCTTTTCTGAAAAGAAACTCTCATGCAAGCCTTCCTGGTGACAACAGTTTTCGAGCGGCAGAATCGGGGAGGGGAAAGTGGGAGGGGCAAATTTGGAAGCTGGAAGCGGGGGTTCGCTCTAGGGCGGACGAATCCAGTCCAGTGCATCATGTGCGCATTCACGAATCACACGACCCATGCCCATGCATTGCTTCTCGCTGCCAATCACAAGCCAGTTCTCGGCGTGCTGCCGAGGTTGCGCACGCGTGCGGTTTGTCTATGTGCGTCGGAATGGTGGGGCTGGTGCAATTCTATGAACCTGCGGCATTCAGGTGTTGCGTGTGAAGTCATCAGATAGTCCGCTTTATGCGGGACATTCCCTGAGTGGGTGGATATATTGAAGGCCCTTATAGGCATATGAAAACCCTAAAAGATATGCATTACTGTACAGAGACATTTTCCATAAAAGGCTCACAGCATTTTGCAAAACAACATCATTCGGCCAAACCAACAATGGCAAAGTCCTTCCCCTAATCTCATTTTCGAGTTACCTAGGGATTTCCAGCACCCTCGTCGTACGGTCCGAAGAGCCTCGTTGGTTGGTAAGCAGGAGTATGGAAAAGAAGGAACGCCTCATCTGCACGCTTCGCGCTTGATGGTTCCTTGGAAGACGGCGGTGGATTAGGGAACACCTTAGTAGTTCTTTCTCCTACTTTAGGAGGTTGTCGTCTCTTCGTTGACCGCAAATGCAGGGATTTATGACCTTGGTCAGTTACCTTTGACTTATGAGTCGACTGGAAAGAGGTTTTGTAACGAACAAATCGGTAAGACTGAGCTCGAGCGCAGAAGAAGCTGAACATCACATTGCGAGGCTACATCATTAGCTTCTATCCACCCTCTTTCGACGACAATCCGTAAATTATTTACGAATTCGCGTGTACGTTTGCCTCGGTCCCCAATCTCTTCGGTACAATGCAGCCGCACGGGAACTGTCGTCCGCCAGGCGACAGTTCCGCTGCATTCCAGGTATTTTCATGGCTGGATGATCCGTCTCACCCTGGAGCCTCCAGGCATCTATTCCGGCAGCAGCAACGGCAGCAGCAGAAGCAACAACGGCAGCAGCAGGAGCAACAACGGCAGCAGCAGGAGCAGCAGCAACGCCAGCAGCAGGAGCAGCAACAACAGTCACAGCAGCAGCAAATACAGCCGCAAAGTCAACAACAATATTTTCCGCAGCTGCAGCAACGGCAGCAGCATCAGGAAGCGCGACCTCCTCTGCCGCAACACCAAGCTGCCTCATATCCACTGGATACATTTCAACCGCAAAACCCTAATATCCGGCAGCCCGAGGCGACGGCGGGTTTGGAGGAGTGGTTGATGCGCCAGGAGGTTCGTCGCGCCGGTCCTTCTGCCAAGCAATTAGCGCTGCTGGAGCTTCTGACACAGCAGCAACACCAGCAGCACCCGCAGCAGCAGCAGCAGCAGCAGCAGCAGCAGCAGCAGCAGCAGCAGCAGCAGCAGCAGCAGCAGCAGCAGCAGCAGCAGCAACAACAAGAAAGACAGCTGCAACAGCAACAACAAGATAGGCAGCAGCAACAACAGCAGCAGCAGCAGCAGCAACAACAACAGCAGATTCCCCCGGGAATGCTTCTGGCGCTCCTTCAGCAGACCCTTCTAGGCGCCTCCAGACCTCGTGGACCCATCGATCAGGGCCCCATCAGTCAGGGCCCCATCAGTCTGGCCCCGGGCCCCATCAATCAGGGCCCCATCAATCAGGGCCCCATCAATCAGGGCCCCATCAATCAGGGCCCCATCAATCAGGGCCCCATCAATCAGGGCCCCATCAATCAGGGCCCCATAAATCAGGGCCCCATAAATCAGGGCCCCATAAATCAGGGCCCCATAAATCAGGGCCGCATCAATCAGGGCCCCATCAATCAGGGCCCCATCAGTCAGGGGCAGCTTGGGGTTGCAGCTGAGTCGACTCAAAAGTCATCTGGTTACAGGCATGCTGCTGCTGCTACTCCAGCAATGGACGGTGCTTTGGGGCGCGGGCCCCAGGAGACGGCCACCAGTGCCGACAGCAGCAATGCTGCTGCCACTCGGCTCATGCCACGTGCTGGAGCAAGTTCTGCTTCTGCTCCTGGTACTGTACTTGCTGCTGCGGCGGTGACTGTTGGTGGTGCTGCGGCATCTGCTGCTGCTGCTGCTGCTTTGGTCGCCCCAACAGCGGTTGGAGAGAACAGGTTCAGATTGGGCAACGAGGAAGGAAAGAGGGGAGAAGAAGAACGGGGGATGAGGGGAGAGGGGCGAGAGCGGGACGCCAATGTGAGGGGAATTGGCGCTCACAGGGAGGGAACAAGAGTGAGGGAGAGTGCGAGTGTGAGGGAGGCAGATACAGTGCAGGCAGAATGCAAGCCGTTAACAAATATCGTTGAGGTGTCTCAGCACCCATTTCAGCCCCTGCCTAAAGCCCTTCCTGGAGCCCTGCTTGAAGAACAGAATCAAATCCTGCCTGAATCTCTGCCTGAAACCCTCCTGGAAAGCTTGTCCCAAGCCGTGCCCCAACCCCTGCCTGAAGGCTTGCCTGAATCCGTACCTGAAGGCCTACCCGAAGGTTTGCCTGAAGGTTTGGCTACAGGTTTGCCCGAGCATGTCCAGGTGGAGTGGCGGCCGCGCACACGAACCCGGTGCGACGCCGGCGCGATCGCGAGGGGGGTGATCAAACCGCGGAGCATGAAGGAGAGGCGGCGGCGAGACAAGATCAGGTGAGCTTCCGGGCAGTGGATTTTTTCCGTCTTGTCTCCGCCCCCGTCTTCCCCCTTCCCCGCTTGCACCACCAATGACGGCGAGAGGTGTGATCAAACCGCGGAGCATGAAGAAGAGGCGGTGGCGAGAAAAGATCAGATGAGCTTGAATTGCGCAGGACAAACCACGTTCTTGCTCCCTTTCCCCTCCCGCCGTCACCCTTATCTCCCCACCCCCCCCCTCCCCATTCTTCCTCCTTCTTCCCCACTTGCTCCACGAGCAATGGGCTGGGCCACCTGAGGCAAGCCCCTCCCTCCCTCTGTGCTGCCAGTGACACACATCCCATGGTTCCTTCCACCCCCATCCTTTTCCCCTCGCCTTCTCCCTCGTCCCTTTCCGCCGCGTTTCCCCATTTCCCCTCCCTTTTCCCCCAAACCCTTCCCCGCTTGCACGACCAGCAATGGGCTGGGCCAACTGAGCCTAGTATTTCCTGCTGTGCGGATAGTGACACACATAGTGACTTTTGGGCCGACTCAAAAGTCACCTAGCAATGGGCTGGGCCAACTGAGCCTAGTATTTCCTGCCGTGCGGCTACTGGCACACATTCCATGGTTCCATCGCCCCTCCTTTCTCGCGCCTCCTTCCCCCCCTTCCATCCCCACCTTTCCTTCTCCTTGTGCCTTTTCTCCCCACCTTTTTCCAACCCCCGCCACCCCCGCCCCCTTCACGAGCAGCGATGGGTTGCGGCAGCTGAGGCAAGCACTTCCCGCCATGCTGCTTGGGCCGCGGCAGGACATGGCGTCGATGATTGAGGCAGCCATTCAGCACATTGGCAATCTCGAGGTAAGCTACTGGGCTGGGTTTGGCTGGGCGTCACTGGGCTTGGCTGGGCTGGGGTGGGCTGTGCTTTGCTGGGGTGGGGGTGGGCTGGGCTCGTCTTTGTGGCATCTTCCACTTACATTCTTTTGCGATTGTGCATTGCGAACTGAAGTGATAGCTGTTTTTAGTATTCCTTTTTTTATTAGCCCATTTGCTGACAAACTTGCATGTCTTCCCGCCGCCTGATTGTCGTTTTCATGTTTCCCTGCGTTGCACCATCTTCTCATGTGCCAGTCCCGCATCCAGGAAATAGAGGCCGACGAGGATGGGGATGGAGGGGAAAGGGGTTCTCAGAAGAAGGAAACTGTGAGTGGATGTGAGATGCCTGGGAGCGGGCTTCGGGATGTGAAGGCGGAGGAAATGGAAGAAGACACGGAAAGCAGCTATGAAAATGAGGAAGATGCAGACAACGATGATGGACACGATTCACGCATCAACATTTAATTTAAAGACTGAAACCTCAAGTCATGTCCAAGCGACTTTGCTGAAAGTAGGACGACAACAACAATCAAGCTTCATCTCAATCTTAAATTAATAGTAAGTTCATCGTGAAATGTCGAACTGCATTATAGGCGTCCATCCGCGCTTGACTCCGTTTTGGGAAAACTCAATCAATCACCAAATGCAAGAATATTCCACGACCTGTGCCACCGCCCTACGTGAGAACTAAACAAATCCTGCTCGCTCGCTTGCAGCTTCCTTGCAGCATGAGTGACTGCAGCGAGGCGACGACAACAACGTTTACACCCTCTTTCTCAACCTTTTCACCTTGCGCAACTCGTCGCTACAGTACTTGTCTCATGCGATCTGGTGCCAATAAACGTTCCTAGGCAACCTGGGGGGAAAGCCGGACCACGTGACAAACTGGCTCAAGGACGTAAAATCTCCGTAATCGCTTCTCAACTTTCCCAAACAGATGAAAACGTTGACAACGCTTTTTGTAAAGTGCATAACCTTACCTAACCGCATTCTTCGCATTGTGCTTGTACAGTAGGTGACAAGACCATTCTGAACGTGGTGATGTTCTACAATCCATGTACGTTCTCCAACCAGGTGCTCTACTAGCGCGAAAGAGGGTGTACAACACGCGCGGAGGAGCTTTCAACTGTAGACTTGAACCGTCATCGTCACGCGCATGATCAATCCACCTGTTGATTGGGTGTTATTTGCTGGTTCAATCGAGTCCGATGGCTTGGACCAGAGGAATCAGATTTGTCAGATCAGCAAACTCTGTGGAATGAATGGCGACTTCACTTTCCTCTTGTCGCAGAGCTCGAAGACGAAGGACTCTACAGACTGTTACACCCAAGCACGAAAGATTAGCCAGTTACAGAATCACTCGCCGAATCAAGTTACAAGATTTTGCGAGAAATTCGAGAGATGCGCAAAATTCGTTACGTGCCCGTACCAAAGCGACGAACAGAGGGGCATTCATCGTCAACGGGTTACTTCACAACCCGGGTTCCACCGTCGGATTGAGCCCTTCACGATCTACTGTACTTGCAGCTTTCTGCTTGTCTTGGGTGCAACATTTTCCCCCTTTGTCCAATCTTTCCTCCTGGCAGTTTCTGAAAATATTTGACTCAATCCACACGACCCAGCCGTACGCCATCACGCGCATTCGCCTGTCTACTGGCCCGTTTTTCACTCCACGCTTCGCCATCCCTGTCATTTTCTATTGCCTACTTGGAACAGCTGACTTTCCCTCACCGCCAGCAGCATTACAGCTGGAGTGCCCGATCGCCCGCGTATCGAAAATTCCTCTCTTTTACAGTCCTTGTTTCCGTGAACTAGGGTCCACACGATCACCACACACTGAACCACCACGAGCCCCCGTCTCGCCTCGTTCTGTTTCATGCTGATCTACAAATAGCAAACCCGCTTTCGGCCAAACTTACCCACCCAAAACTAACTTCCCTCCTGCCCCGTGTGACCCATCACTCTGTCCTTGCCTTTCCTGGCCCGATTCTCCCACCGACTTTGCCAAACTCTCCCAGACTCCCAGTCTCCCACCCGTTCACATTCCCGTTCTGTCCTTTTCCCTTCCGCTCATCTCAATTCATTCCCTCCCTCTGATGTCCCAACCACACGAACATCAGCAGCAGCAGCCGCGGCAGGAACAAACACTGCAGCAGCCGAGCGCTGATTTTTCGTTTCACGAAGCCGCGAAACTGCTGCTCGACTCAGAGCATCTCGATTACTCCCCCGCGTCGCTGTCCCTAGACGAAAGCTTCGCTTTATTCGCACAAACTACTAGCTCCAAAGAGCACATCCCTTCGCCTGCCGCCTCTGCTTACACCTGCGGCCGAGTCGCGCTGGAAGAAGATATTCTCGAAGCACCGATAGAGGGGGGTTCCGCCGTAAACGGGTCTCTCGTCGCAATTTCCGGAGCGCCCGCTCCCGACGGTGACTCCTCGCTCGATAGAACCGCTTCGCGTGACGCGAAACATTCGGAATTATTTCATCGAGCCTCAATGGTTCCCAGCGATCTTGATCGCGACGAAATTCGGCATTTAACCGCCGCAACCGGCGCAGCGCCTCGAGGCGGCGGCCGCGAAGGGTGTGACTTCGTCAATGACCGCGCCGCGGCTGCATCCGCCGCCTTTGCCGCTCCGCAAGACGCGCGGCGGGAACAGACACAGCACGATGGCGCCGGGCCGGCGTCGCGAGTCGCCGCGGAAACGGCATCTGCGGCGGATGTTGAGCAATGGCTGCGCGCGCTGGAAGAGGTTAGCGGCGCGGCTGACGGCGACATTTCCGGCGCGGCGCTGGCGCCAGGCTTGCAGATTCCCTTCGATTTGCTCCAACAATCTGCGGACGCCGCGTTGTTCGCTCAGCTACAGATGCTCTCCTCGCCGCCGTTCGACGCGGCGCCGGCACTTGACCTTCACGACACGGTGGTAACCAGACCTGTAACCGGCGGCGGCGCGAGTTCCCTCGCACACCCTGCGCAAAATTCTTTTGCGCAGAACGTTCCAAGAGCGACCTCGGGCCCAATCGCGCGCCACGGATTTTCCGCGACGTCAGGCGCGGAATCTCCGCGCTTATCGCCCACTGGGAGCGTATCAGGTCACAATCAACGGCGCTTCGCGACTCGGGACCGTGACGGCGACGCGAGCCGCAACTATCAGGCTTCGACCCTCGCCCGGCCTGGGGACGTCACAGTAACAACCGCGACTCAAGCTGAGCCGCGAGAGGCGTTTCCGGGCGGCGACTGTCGCTTTAGCGGCGGCGGCACCATGTTCCCCCCAATCTCACCGCGCCACCCGGCGACTCACAGTCGCGGCGCGTCAGGCGGCGCCGCCGCGGCGTCACCATCCGCCGCCGGGTCCGGCGCCCTCGCGCCGACCAAATGCGCCAGCAGCAAGCTCGCGTTGGAAATGCTACACAAGATGCGGCAAGGCGGGTTGGTGTTACCTGGGATACTACCCGGATCGTCTACACTCTACGCTTCGGACGCTGCTTTGCTCGCGAATGGCGAATTCGCGGGTTTCGACAGCTTGGAAGACGTCAAAACAGATATCACAGCCACTCGTGCTGCTCCTGCTCCTGCTCCTGCTTCTGCTCCTGCTGCTGTTTCTCCTTCACTTTCCAGCGTTCCCCAGGCTCTGATAGGCATGCGTGGGGCGGACGTTTCAGGCGCACTGCTGATCGGGAGCCGCACAAGCCAACCTGCAGTGTGGTCCCCACGCACGAGCTCACTGAGCCAAGCCCAAGCAGGCGCTAGGTCACCGCGGGCAGGAGTAGGAGAGACCGAGACTCCTGGTGACGCGAGAGGCAGCGGGGATGGAAGCGCTCAGGCACTGGAGTCTCCCCGCAAGGGCGCATCAGGTGCAGGAGGGGCGACAGCAGCAGCTGGGGCAGTAAGGGCGCCAGGAGTTGAAGCCCAGGCGATGTCCGAAGGGCGAGGAGGTGCGGGACCTGCCACGTCAGTGGCTTTGTCGGGGGGCGCCGCGGGTTTGTCGGGTGGATTGTCGGCGGAGGACGACTGGCGGCCGCGGAGTCGAACGCGGTTTGACGCCGAGGCGATGCGCAAGGGGGAGATCAAGCCACGGAGCATGAAGGAGAGACGGCGGAGAGACAAGATCAGGTGAGTTGTTGGTGGTTGGTACATGATCAAGTGTTTGAGCTTGTCTGGTGTCAGCTGGATTCCTGTAGTTGTGTGATCTTCTTGCGCGTGAAGCTATTTAACATCGCCCAATCTCAACTTGTCTGTTCATGACATCATCACGTTCTCCTGTGCCCCGTTTCCTGCCTGTTGCCTTCTATTCCAGCGAGGGATTGAGGCAGCTACGTCAAGCCATCCCAGAAAGTCTGTTGGGTGCACAACAAGACATGGGCGCTATGATCGAAGCAGCAGTCCTGCACATAAGCAATCTACAGGTACGCATGTTATGCTATCGTAGATGCGTAGTATGTCCATATATTTTCTTCGTTGCAGAAATGCTGATCCACTGTCTCGTATTCTGTGCAGGCTCGAGTGAGCAAGCTCGAAAGAGGCGCAGCAATTGAAGAGATTGTTGACAGAATGCAGCCATAATACGTAGGCTCTCTTGTGCTTCGTATAAATGTTGTCTTGTTCTAGTTTGGTGGAAGGCTCGTTTTTCTTATGGTATGTGTGCTTAGAGCATACACCGAAACCCATTATCAAACTTTTATTGATGAAAGTAAACAAGCTCTATTGGACAAGTACAACATAAGTCGCCAGCTGTCAGAATTATCTGAGTCGGTTAACGAGATCATGCTAAGCGAGAATCCAACGCACAGCGAGAAGACCCAAATGAGGCAAGTGTGACGGATTTGGGTTGGATGCTCGGGAACCAGCACAATCCTTGATGACCTTGCATGCCACCTGTGATATCATTTTCTCACCAGGTGGACGTGTATGATTGGCTTAGGCTTACCAATACGACCCTTTGACAATGGATCAAGCCACCTGGTCTTGTCCCTTGACCACCCGATTTCGACGTTCGTGTTCGTCTCGTCGTCTCGTCACCCCCAGTGAACTCCATGGGCCACTTCTCCCAGCCCTCCAAACCGCTTCTCCTCCGCGCATCCCCCAATTCCACGTCCATACACATCGTCGTCACCTTCACATGCTTGTTGCTCAGATGACGTCACATGACGGCTTGTCACGTGAAACTCTCCGCAAAATCGACCACTTCCACAAATCCACCAAAGCCGTCTCCACTGAAGAGCTCTACAAGTACTGTAGGCCTTTCTCTAGTCTTCCTGGCCAGATCTCATGCTCAAAATCGGCATGAAATTCTTTCGGAACGGGTATCTCCAGCTTACTTTGTTCATTGCAAACTGTTGCTGCTGTCATTTTCTTAGCAACGGGCTGCCATGGCGGTGCCCCCTTCTAGCGCCATAGTACACGTACTTTTTCTTTCGTTCCGACTGTAGTCCAGATCCCATTTAGTTGGTTACAGCTCACTTTTCCCACATTCAACGGTACGAACATTGAAAATATGACTCGGGCTACAATTACCTCTTCAAGAAGAGGCGCGGGAAGGAGGACGGATGTGAGGGGTACTGCACACGGGCCGGAAGGAGTAAAGGAAGATGGGTTCAATACGTCCCTCAGTCGCACGGTTGGTAGGCGATCAGTTGTCCGGTAGTGGTACTCTGACTGAACAAGGGTAGCGGCTAACCGTATCAATATCTAGACTGAAGGCACGGCGACGAGAGCTACGGGTTGTCAAACCCAGATTTTACTCCTCACGCCGCCCAGGCCAAAACCTCATGCTCGCGCCGCGAGGAGGGCTTCCGACTGGGCCAAGTGGCGAGATTGGCGGGCAGCGCCGCACCGCTCCGATCCCCAAGCCTCGGGGTTCATAAATCCGCCAGTTCATGCTGCCAAGGCAGCACGAGAAGGGCTTGGCCGCTGCACCATGGCCCATGGCTTCATCAACAAGGCGATTGGAAGGCGCAGGAGAAGCAGGAAAAGCAGGAAGAGCAAGAGCAGCACAGCAGCAGCAGAGGCTGGAGGGTTGTTAGCGTCTTAACACGTGTCGATATCTGACAAGCTGCCTTTGGCCCTTCCGATTTCTCGGTCCAATCCCGTGTTGTCACGTGTGCTTGCCCGACGCAATCATGCTCCCGTGCACGCCTCGTTCATTTACACCCACGCTCACGTGTTTCCACCTCAGGGCGAATGAGAAACGCAGGATGGGTATCCCAAGATTTTCTTCCACACACACCCTTGTGAGTGAGAAACGACGCGCGTAGTCGCTCGACGTGAAGGCAAATTGGTTCGATGTGGCATGTCAACTTGGAATCTCGTCGTTGTTTGTTTGATAGAGACGACGCACCCTCGCCACGACATAAGTGCTAGACTCGTGTCTAAAGGCGACTCGAAAAATAAGCGACGATCAAATTGTTGCGATACAGATCAAGACTGTGCAGCTGCGATTCAGAAACCTAGTCTCGCTTTGACACGAGCCAAGTCGGACTGTGGAGCCGCCTCGCGACCGTGAGGGCTAGACGCGCGGCGGTGGGAGCTTGTCTCACATTACCGTGTTTCCATTGGCACTCTTTTCACGCGAGATGATTACTGGAAACCCCCGGTGCCCCCTCGCTTATCTCCTTGGCATCGTAGCTGCTGGGTGCGGCCCTGGGCTTCCACCCACGTAGGATATGAGCGGAGGCAGAGGGAAGGTTTGAACCTACCTCTTCACCAATTCCCTTCGCAAATCCGTCGGACGTTTATTCCCGTTCCACACCACCAGAGCCGCGTTCTTCATCTTAGCTTCCATTCTGCTGGCCTTGTTTCTCGAGTCGCACCACTCCAAGAGTAAGAAATACCTCTCAGTAACCTTCAGGCGAAACCTTCTTAGCAAACCAGAGACGCAGCGTGTAGACCCTGCAGAGATGGACCAACACGGTCGCGTTCTGGATCATCTTGAAGCAACTGACTCTTTGGGGGAGTTGTTGGGGCGCCATAACAAGCGCCACGGCGAGGACTCCAGCGTGCGAGCCCTTTTAGAGACGCACAGCAAAGTCACATTCCCCGGATATGGACCTTCCGGGTGGAGCGCCGGATCAGGAGGAATCAAGCTGCTCCGGGAAGGCCGCTTTGGGGTGGTGTTGGGACGTTATGGCGAGGTCCCCAGATATGAGGTCCCCAGCAAGGAAGCCTTCTTTGGCGTTGGCACACACGACGAACCCACATTCCCCGGATATGGACCTTCCGGATGGAGCGCCGGATCAGGAGGATCCATGCTGCTGCGGGAAGGCTGTGTAAGGGAGTTGTTGGGGCCGCGTTATGGCGAAGTCCCAAGCATAAGAGCCCTCGTTGAGACACCTAACACAAGCAACAATATCACATCGTGTGCGTATGGATCATCTGCTTCCCACTCGTGTTGTGGAGCAGGAGAAATCAAGTCAGCTGGCGAATGCGGCACCTCAAAGGCTCCGTTATGGGGCCTGCGGCAAGGAGTAGACCCCACCATTGAAGCCAGCATGATGTGCGAGCCTCAGATACCCACGTGCGTTCTCGACGCGAGTCAGGAGGAGAGCGGTCTCTTGGAGGAGCTATTTAGGCGCCGCAGGCGACTCGGGAACCCCGTCGTTGCGCCGCCCTTCATGCACAACCAGCCTCGGCCACTTTTTGAGAACCCTCAAATCCCGAATCAGGAGGAGAGTGGTCTCTTGGAGGAGCTATTGAGGCGCCATGGGCGACTTGAAAATCCCACTGCGGCTCCTGTTATGTATCCGCCTCGCCTGCCAATGCAGCCCCAGGAGTCAGCAGCTCTTCCGTCCCGTTCAAACGCTTCAAATTATTCTTCCAAAGTCCCCGTTTTGGAGAGAGCCATGGCTGAGCTTTTTGAAGAGGAGCAGCGGCAGCAGCAGCGACAGTGGCAGCGACAGCAGCGACAGCAGCAGCAGCAGGAGCAGCAGCAGCAAGTGGCAGTGGAGAGGTGGATCGCTCAGGCTTTAAGCGGCTTCGCAACAGAGAGGAGTCTTGAGGCACCTCAAATGCCGAGCGTCTTTCCATCAAAGAAAATTATGTCTTTATCAGGCTCTGGAGGTATCAAGACCATTACTGGAGATGCAAGAACCGGAAAAGAGAGCAAGGTGGAACCATGCTTTGGCCATGCCAACACTACCAGTGAAGGAGATGAAGCGACCAGAACAGAGAGTATGGTGGCAGCAGGGCCTGGAGGCATCAATACCATAGAGAAAGAGGCAGCAGCAGCAACATCGGCCCAGAAGCATCTAGGCAGAGAGGCAACAGCATCGGTGCAGCAGCATCTGGTGCAGCAGCAGCAAGTGGTGACAACCAGCTGGGTGGCACAGGCTGAGCTGGCCGGGCTGATTCTGCCGCCCGATCTGATCCAAGAATCTGCACATGCCGCCTGGTTTGCTGTGCGGATGCAGATGCAGGAGCAAGCTGAGGGGGGATCACCGAGTCTTACTGGGCCGGGTAGCCTCCACTCACACGACAGCTCATCCCTCCCAATCTCCCCAGCATCCACTGCTGCTGCTGCTGCTGCCGGCGTTGCTGCTGCTGCTGCCGGAGCTGCTGCTGCTGCTGCTCCCTACCTGCCCGCTGCTCCTGCTGCCTCCTTCTCACCTGCTGCTGCTGGTGTTTGTCACAAGGGCGACAGAGGGAATGCCTCGAAAGTGCAGCAACCTTTGGGACCCACTGGAAGGTCTCTATTCTCGCCCTCGGCTCCTGGTGTTTGCCGCACATCCTCTGCGCCTGGTGCTCCAAGCGGACCTTCCGCCACTCCTGGTGTCTGTCTTAAGAGGAAAAGGGCTGGTTCTGTTTATCAGGGGGAAGGACACGCCTTGACAATGCAAGAGCATCCTGCCACGTGGACGCCCCTGGTTGGCTCAGGGAATGTCCAGCAGTGGTCGGAACAGATGGGAGTGGGAGACGAAAGCGGGAGTGTGAGACTGGCGAAGCGGGAGGAGGAGAGGTGGAGTGAGGAGGACTGGGAGCATCGCGTACTTGGTGCAAAGCAAAAGTCCCTTTTTGAGGGGCCACAACAGTCGCCTTTTACGTCATCGCAAGTATCGCCCTTCAAGGCACCACCACAAGCATCGCCTTCTCAGGCACGGCAATTACCCGCTGAGGACTGGCGGCTGCGCATTCGAGCACGACTGGATGGGCAAGCGGTGGGGCTGGGATGCATACAGCCGAGGAGCATGAAGGAGAGGTGTCGCCGCGATCGCATCAGGTGACTTGCCCCTCCTCTTGCAACACCTGCTCCCCCTCTCTCCTCTCCTTCCCTCCCTCCCTCTCTAACCTTCCCCCCGCTCTCCCTCCCCTTCCTCCTGTCCCTCCCCCTATCCCTCCACCCACCCACCCCTCCTCGGTTTCCCTCGCCCTCTTCACGTTCACAACTGTATCCATTCTCTTCTCTACCCCCTTTGCCCTTTCCTTGTTTGGTTCTCGCTGCTGTCAGCATTTTGGCTTGTACCGTAAGTGAGCCCCGAGTCAAATGGGAGACCTGGATGAAGCGTGAAACCGAATCTCTGACCTTATTGAAATCCGATGCTTGTATCGAATGTGCTTGTATCAGGAGAGGCCTGGAGCTGCTACATCGAGCATTACCCCCATATCTCGCAAGAGCACAACTGGATACAGCCACAATGGTGGAGTCTGCATTCACTCACATAAAAAAACTGCAGGTACACTCGCAGTTTCTAATATTTTTAGTGGTCTTATAACTCGTGAAAATTATTGTTAGTCCTGTTATTAAATGTGACCAACACGTATGTATGTTTCCACAATCTTTGTGCCAGCCATCTGCCACTGCTGGTTAAGGCTCAAACAGCTGCTGAGGGGGGATTTTCGAGTAGTTTCAAACGAGTTTTTTTTTTTGGTCTGAAATATTTTCTGCCTTCCGGTGTTCTTTTGATACCTGCAGGCCCGAATTGAAGCCCTGGAGAACTCAGGAAATGCTGTTGGAGTTAGTGGAGCCGTCAAGACATCGAGATCTGCAGTGGAGGAGAGAGCATGCGGCTCGGCTGTAGGTGCAGGCGCAACCAGGGTGACTTCTGAGTCCATTCAACTGTCATTGGAGAAACCAACCCTGCTGTGAAGGGAGCATTCAGGGCGACTCTTGGGTTGACTGTGAAGTCAACTGGAGAAGCGGAGATCTGCAGTGGAGGAGGCAGCATGTGGCTCGGCTGCAGTCGATTCAACTGTCACTTGGCTGCACTTGGGAAACCTGGCCGTGTTTTTGGGAGGGATCAACCCTCAATACGGGAACCCGGTTGATGTTTAGGGTTGATACTACTCGAGTCGCAACCGTTTCAGATTGGGTTTTATGCTTTTGGGAACTATATGTATATATTCATGCGGTTGAGATTTGAAGAAGATGCCCCGAACTTGATGCCCAGCAAGTAGGCCCAGCAACATTCACGGATCTGCCTGTCCATCTGCCTACCGTATTCTCCCGGACATAACACCCTAGGGTATAGCTAAAAATACAGGGAAAAAATGGGGGGGGTCTCCTCATAGGAAAAAAATACATAATACCCGGGTCTTATTATATTGCACATTTTTTTATAAGCAGAAATGAATGGAAACAAAAACAGGGGTCTGGCCTTATTATTATTTTTTTTTATCAGGGCCGCCAAACCGCGTCTACGAGGATAACGTCGGCCTCCACTGGAATCTGCCACTGTGCCACCTGATTGGTTGACATCAGTGCCAACCTCGCGCAGCTTGGGTTCATGCAGTACGAGGCCGGAATCGCGCACGGTGCTGTGTTGTCACTGTACCTGTGACCCCTTGACTGCCGTGTACGGTAGTCACGTCCAAGCTTCCTCACCCAAGCTTGCTCTTCTCTTCGTCAAGCGGTTCCAGTGCACGTCTTTGACAAGTGCTCGGCAGGCTGTGAGAGCGTCTCCTTCCTGTGCACGAGGGTATCGTCTTTAAAGTCATTTCTCCCATGGCGAGTGACATCGACCTGCCTTAGTTCCCAAGCATGGCTTCATCTCCAGATTCTAGCAGTACGGTAGATAGGCGGCAGCGGCCTGTTTCCACCAATCAGACTAGCACTTCTGCACGCGCACGGACGTCTCCTCGCCCGATCTTTCCTCAGCCGGATGCTCCCTGTAGTGCTTCTACCAGGGATGAACCGAGCAGTAGCTTGGACCGTCCTCGCCCTACCCTTCCTCGAGTGGTTGTCCCCACGTTCCCGGAGCGGAACTGCCCGCAGGGACAGCAGAAGCGCAACGCCGATGCTGACCCGCCATCCCCTTGCCATCGCATGACGAAACGCCAGCGCAAGGGAATCACCGCGAAGGAGAAGCTCCACTGGTTGAAGATGCAGGACTCGCAGCCCGACCTGTCGAATCGCGCCCTCGCGAAGCTCGCGATGGTGCAGCCATGCCAGATCCGCGATTGGAAGAAGATGAGGGAGCGGCTGGAGGTCTCTTCCAGCTGCCGTCGTCGCCTCATGGGAGCTGGCCGCAAGTCCAAGTTCCCTTTCATGGAACGGGCGGTCTACCGCCAGTTCCTCAAGCACAGGGGGAGGGGGCTCGCCGTTTCGGTTAGCATGCTCCAGAAGTGGAGCGCCAAGTACATGAAGCACCGGATGCCCGGGGTCAACTGGCGCGCATCGTTCCGCTGGGCGACTCGTTTCCGCACGCGCTGGCATCTGGCGAGGCGGGTGAAGACGAAGATGGGACAGAAGTTGGCAGCGGGTAAGTCTTGCGCCGTCGTGCTCCTTGATTGCCATCTCAGTGCTGAGCTAATGTGTCTCGTGGCTTTGCTTGCAGATTGCAAGGCCAAGGTGGAGTCCTTCTGGGAGTTTGTGCGCCAGATGCGCTCTCTGCACGACTACCCGCTTGACCTCATCTTGAACGCGGACCAAACCCCGCTTTTCCTGGAGATGCCGGCGGAGCGCACGCTCGAAATGAAGGGAGCGCGGACGGTTCACGTACGGAGTGCGGGCTATGAGAAGGAGCGTGTTACTGTCATGCTGGCAGTAACTGCGAGCGGGCTCAAGCTGCCGCCGTACGTGGTGTTCAAGCGCAAGACCATACCGAAGGTGCCCATCCCTGCCGGTAAGCGTAGCACGTTTAGGATGATGTCACTACTCTAGCCTGTCAACAGTCGCAACCGAATTTGACCCTGACGTACCGGTATTCTTTGGCAGGTGTGGTGGTCCGTGCACAAGACAAAGGGTGGATGGACGAATCACTTGTGCAGGACTGGATCACCCAGGTGATGGTGTCGTTTCTGAAGCCCTTGCGTGAATCAACTGGACGCCGCAGGGAGGCCTTGGTTGTGCTCGACTCCTACCGCGGCCACTTGACTGAGGCGGTCGGGCAGACCATGCGGATGTTTCGGCTGTCACGGGCTGTCATCCCAGGGGGCTGCACTCCACTAGTGCAGCCTCTGGATGTGTCGATCAACCGCGCGTTCAAGTGCGGTGTGCGTCATCGCTACAGTGGCTGGTTCGAAGAAGAGGGCATCAACACCACCACCAAGTCCGGTGAGTTGAACCATGACATCCGCATGTGTAACTTTGAATCAATGTCGGCTTACGCTCTGGAAATTCACATTTGTCCTTCTCTACCCTTCCCCGTCCCTCAGGCAATCTCAAGAAGCCGCCAGCGGAGTTGGTGCTCCGCTGGATCGATGAGTCCTGGGAAGCAATCCCAGAGGAGCTCGTGAAGAAGGCGTTCGTCACGTGTGGGATCTCCACCCCCATCAATTGCAGCGAGGACCACCTCATCCTTGCCCACATGCGGGACAAGGGTGAGGTGGAAGTCCTTGACGACGTCAACGACCTGGTTGACGACGAGCTCGTCGTCAACCCCTTCTACGCCGAAGTCCCCATGCCGGCCGAGGAGCTGCAGGCGGCGGCAGAGGAGGCTGACGCCGCTGAGGAGGACGCGGAAGCGGCGGCGGCAGAGGAGGAGGGGGGCGTGCTTGAGGAAGGTGGGGAGGCAGAAGAGCCCAGCGATGACGAATGGTGGCGCCCTGGCCGCTTTGACGGGGAAGACTGTGAAGAATGGCATGCAGGAGACGATTCTGAGTAGAAGGCATTTTGTATAGAGTTTTTTTAGGTGAAATTGTGGATGTGAGGTGCTCTTGTGGTGATGTTTCTGCAGTCTAGGTCACATTGTCGATGACTATGTGCTGGCACATTACTTCTGTAGTACCTGTAAAGTACCCTGTATGCAATGTACAGTAAGCAAATTCAGTATTTTTGCCGCCCATAACACCCCCCCGGGTCTTATAGAGAATAAGGCAAAAAGGGGGGTATAGTAGAAACGAGGCTCCCCATAACACCCACCCCGCACAAGCTACCCGGGGGTGTACAATTATGGGGGGGTGTTTTGTCCGGGAGTATACGGTATGATGGATGTTGCTTGCGTGGTATGAGTTTCAACACTGTCAGGCATGCGCTTCCATAGTAGACGAGTTGCGTCACTGGTGCCAGAGTGGCACGTCTCGACAAATTTATGCAGTGCACAGTGTTACTGCTAAGCATACTGTTAAGGCGTGCACAAAAGAGGTTTTTATGTCCTCTGACGCCGGAGGCCCGACGTCAATCGACGCCGAGGTCGACGTCCATTGACGTCGAATGCGGCACTTTGAACGCAATGCCGGCGACAGACGTGCCCAAAAAACGGTTGCGCGCACAAAGCTGTTTCGCCCAGGACAAATGCCGACCGTTTTCACTAAACAATTGAATTGAGGTATTTTCGCGAGTTCGCAAGGCTATTTCGTCTACATGGTTTATGCGTCACATTATGGAGAAAAAGCATTGCGAAACTTTTCCAAGCAAAAATTTTGTCCGTTGTGGTCCGCATCAATAGTAAGATATGCTAAATATTTCTGAGACGGACCGTTTTTTTGCCCGTCGTCCAAGTGCAGTTCCGTACACAATTGAATTTCCGTTGTCAACTGTTTTTTATGTGTACGTTGAACACCTGAAAGCACCCTTGAGCCCACCAACCTACCTCTACGTTGCTAGACTTCGATCTAACTGGAGCACTTTGTACACGCCTTTAGGGCGGGTGTGTCAGAATGAATGAACGAGAATGAATGAACTAAGAAACAGTTAGGTACAAGTACTAACCCTAATTGGGTTGTACCCCTTATGGGCTACCCCACTACAGCCTACACAAATGTATAAGCTATAATGTTCTGACACACCCCCATAGGCAAAGTGGGGGAGAACAAGTGGTCACAAGACCAGTCAAGAAAAGCAAAGCAAGCTCAGGGTGGATCACAAAGTCACCACACAGTCCGAGCACAAGCAAAGGGCCACAAGGCCAGTTCACATGCAGAGTTATATATACCGTATTCTCCTGGACAAAACACCCCCCCTGTAATTGTACACCCCCGGGTAGCTTGTGCGGGGTGGGTGTTATGATAGACCTCGTTTCTACCATACCCCCCTTTTTTGCTGATTTTCTATAACACCCCCCTTTTCTTACGAATTCGTTATAATAGTCGTTAACGAGTAGCTGCAATATTGAAGAATATCGCGAAAATTTCTCCCTAGATGAAATTTTGCGGTACATTCACTTACAATCTACCAAGATTTCCCCCCTCGCACTACTTCGCTGTGACCACGTGCAGGCGAATCTTCCGCTGCAAGTGGCAAGACAGGTGCCACATGGCATTTTCGTGGGGGTGATGAAGCTCGTGGCCGAAACCCACATTCGCGCCTCAGACAGTGATGTTAAAATGAAAATCAAAACACCCACATTGTCTAATTAAATAAACACTAACACTAAAATATACCATATGTAAAGACCCGGGTATTATGTATTTTTTTCCTATGAGGAGACCCCCCCCATTTTTTCCCTGTATTTTTAGCTATACCCTAGGGTGCTATGTCCGGGAGAATACGGTAAGAGAACAAACAATACAGTGATCATACCCTAGCAAGTGCAAGCATGCAGGTATACATATAGATCACAGTACAAGCAAAGTCACGCAGTAAGCAAGTGAGGCAAAGTAGGCACAAGGCATAACACAGTAGAGAAGCGCTGATGATCACCAGTCGGAAGTGCCTTGGTGAATATATTAGCAGTGTTGGCCCTAGTGGCCACGTACGTAAGACGAAGC